TGATTTCGAATATCAAGCTCAAGTATTGTTTATTTTGTAAATTTCAGTACGTAGTTATGTATTTTGTATTATAATGCTCGAATTATCGTTTTATGTGAAATATACACAGAGTTAACGTAAATATTATAAAAACCCTTAGATCAAAAATATGTTTTTACTTTAGCAAGTACAAGCACGTGCGCAAATATTATAAATTCTTAGCTTGTTTACAAGTTTTCTCAAGAGCACCATTAGAGGAAGATTTTAACTGGAAAATATCTCAAAGTCATAATTTCCTCTATGCTATACGGCGTCATTTGCAATATCTTGTTTATATTTTTCTGCATCGTTATCCAAGCTTATTAGTTCTATTGATCTCTCGACAGACTCTTCAATGTTTAAAATTTAATCCTAATCCGATCGTGAAATATATGCTCTATTTTGAGATTTAAGCATGCTATAAACCCGACATCGGGCCCATGGAGTCTGTATTACAGATTTAGCTATTATTAATTAATTTGCTTCTTACGCTCCGTGAACAACCATCTATGTATTAACGAGTTTTGCTGCCAGGATTTGCTTTATGGATGCGTAGAGAGTAAAATCTAATACTTAACTATATCTATATTCATGTAAAGTAAAAGATTATTTTGGATTTTGAAAATAAAGGTTCAATACCAAACGTTTTACTATCGGTAAATGTAAACTAATGATTTTAGTTTGTTATTCAAATTTCGAAATCCTAATGGAAGTTATTGAATAATAATGCACTAGTAAAATTGTAAAGTGATTTTTTGTATACACATTTTTTGTATAAACTCTAATAATCAAAATGATCACATACATATAAAACATTATTGAATATTGGCAAATGCAATATCGGTATACCGAAAAACCGGTATAATGTCTAAATTTTTGGGGTATTGATACCGATATCCACTGCATACCAACCAGTATACAGTCTAAATTTTTAGGTTATTAATACCTATATTCACCTTGAAATTACCGGTATTTTTTGTATAAACTCTAATCATTAAAATGATCATGCACATACGCAACTTCATTGAATATTAGCAAATAAAATATCGGTATACCGAAAAACCGGTATAAAGTTTCAATGTTTGGTGTATTAATACCGATATCCACTGCAACTTCATTGAATATTAGCGAATGCAATACCGGTATAACTAGAAAAAACAGTATAACATCCAAATTGTTGAGGTATTGATACCGATATTTACTGAATAACCGGTATAACGTCTAAATGTTTAGGGTATTAATGCCGTTATTCACCTTAAAAATGCCGGTATTTTTTGCATAAACTCTAATAATTAAATTTTATTGAATATTAGCAAATGCAATATCGGCATACCAAAAAAACAGTCTAAATATTTGGCGTATTAATACCAAAATTCGCCTAAAAACCGGTATGACGTCTTAATTTTTGGGGTATTAGTATCATTATTCACCTTAAAAATAACGATATTTTTGATAATGAAATATAAGGTTCATACATGTTACACTTTAGTTTGTTTCCTTATTTGAACTTTAAATTTTATAATTCCTTGAAATAAATGTCTTTAGGTCGTTCTATTGTATAAAGAAGTTTTACAATATTATCTCGAACTGGCGTTAAACCGAATATTTAATGCTTTCTAAAGAATTAGATATTATGTCATAATGAATAAAATTGGACTAATAAATTATGATTTATATATAATAATGAAATGTTTTTTGAAGTGACTAATAAAATTACAATCTAATTCAATCTAATTTTAAACGAAATGTTCTACCTTATTCATCATAGAATACAAATTTTAATATAATTTGTATTTTAACACATATTCGATAAAAATATTATTCAAATATTCGCCTTTTCTAATATTTTATGATTTTGTCTAGGACATCCAATTATTTTTACAAAGTACGTTTTATAGGGTTAATTACAAAGTTTTCATATAATTATTTTTTATCAGAATGCCAATTCTCCATGTCTTGCAATCTTCTCCTAGTGCAATATTCAAATCTAAAATTTATGAAATTGTCTACATTTTGTATTCTATGATAAATAAGGTAGAAGCGGCCTTGTTGATGATGAACACAATGAAGCAACACGTGCTTTATATGGAATGACATTTACATTTGTATTGTTGCCGAAGTTTATATGAAATATGAAATAATCTAGAAATAGATAGTTCATCTTTTGTACTAAATGCTCCGCATGTGTCTATTAAAGAATCCATTCATCTGTTTGTGACAATTTTTTATGAAATAATAATAAAACCTACCTAGCTACAGGTACTAGTACCTTATAATGATCTATAAAAATTACTAAAAAAATATGAAATAAAATAACTCATTGCTAAATGAGTGTACATAGAATCGCGAAATTGTATAATGAAGAGCTACCAAATGACCTGCTATAAATTAATAAATATTTCAATAGTACGCTGGGCATCAATGAAGCTCTCGTAGTTCAGTCGTTAGAAAGATTTTATGTGATGTAAAATAAAATAGATCAAATTTAGTTTCGAATCCATTTGCTTGCATATTTTGCTTATTCAGCATTAAAATACTTAATATTAATGAAATCTGAAACGCATATTTAAAATAATTGTAATTCATTCATATGCAAGTTGTTATATTAAATTTTCCATTACAAATCATGCGTTATTACAGCAACTCAAAAGAGTAAACTTTACATAGTTTTTAGTTTTGAGGGAAAATCTTATTAGAAGTCGTTCCTTAGAATTTACTTTTAGCAGAGATCAAGGAGCATACACTAACTTTGCCTCAACTTTCAAAATTTGAAAATTACTTCAACTCTACAAATGTAACTTACATAGAACTCTGTTTCCACAACTTATGTGGAACTATCTCATATTAAACTAGTGGGGTGGGTGGCATCGTGCCTTAAGGCAAATTGCTGGAACTTCCCGTACCGTAACGAAATGTTCGAGGAATACTGAATGTTTTCAAATAGATTATTATAAATATTGTAACATTGTCTAATATTTATAAGAATTCTATAAACTGAATTGCAAAGTTGAAATTATTTGCTTCAACAAAAAACTAAAAAGAAAAAAAAAAAAAAAAAAAAAATGGAACAAAAATTTTTTTTTTCCAAAATCAATTATTTTGTTAAGACAAGCAGAAAGTTTTTTGAATCATTCAAATCGGACGCTTAGTTCTCTCAAAAACTGCCATTTTTTACATATTTAGCTCCGTATCTTCGAAATGGCTGGGCCTGCCTTTGCCAAAAACTAATAAACACTTCTCCCAATCATTACTAATTGAATGTTTTTTAGATCATTCAAATCGGATACTCCGTTCTCTCAAAAATTCGATTTCTATTTTCTGCACTCTTTGCTCCGTATCTCCGAAACGGCTGGACCTGCCTTTGCCAAAAACTAATCAGCTCTTTTCCCTATCAATAGGAATCGAATGTTTTTTGAACCATTCAAATCGGTTGATCCGTGCGCCCTAAAACGTGACTGGAAATTTGTATCCACACACACATACACACACACACACATACACACACACACACACACATCCATTTTTTCTGAAGTATGCCAAAATGTTCAGAAACCTTCAAAACGTCGAGAAATGTAAAAATTTTCAATTCCGATTTTCGGCCCATTACAATAACTTACCCTACGGGAAGTTAACTAGACATCGTAAATTGGAATACAATTGTTTAAATGTCACATGCATATACACAAAATTTTTGTTATAATGTAAATATAGTACAAACCTTTCACTACCATTTGTTTTCCAAAGTGTCCTCTGGGATGTAGCATCGTTCAATGGCCTTTTAGTAGAATATCCTCCGCCTAATCTGAAAGTCATTTATATTTAAACTATTAGTAAATTACATAACGAATGATATATAGGAAGCAATATAACTATCAGAGAATTCATTTGTCAAGATTATATTACAATTCTTGAGAATCCTTAGATATGCCGAACTATATGTTACAGTAAGTTTGAATGGACTTAATACTGGTTATTAATTAAAGAGATTTTCACCTCGTGATTAATTGTAATAATACAGAACATGATTTATTAATTAAATTTCACCAGATGAATATCAAATAAAGCGTAATATAATGTGAATAATTTTGTAATATAAATTTACATAATTATTCTAAGCATTACATTACAATTACATTTGTGGGTAATGAATTTTTAGAAACGTTGTTATTAACTCTGTCAATTCCATTGATATTACAATTCATTCAGAGAGATATTTATTTATACAAATAAATATAATAAAACATAGAATATTTTATTTTATTTCCATATATCTATATGAACATAAAAGAACTATAAAACTTGGCATGAAACTTTATAACCGTGAAATGCATTCTTGTTAGGCAATAATGCAATGAAATCTCTATCATTTACGGACTTTTAAACTCATAAGTTTCCATATAGATAAATTAAAAACTTTTATACTATATATATATATATATATATATATATATCAATTATGAGTTTTGGTCATATATTTTTTTTTGCAAAGGTGCTATGTCGGTTCTGAACATTCTTTTACGAGCAAAAAACTATATTCGCTGCGGTAATATGAGCCACGTTTTAATTTTTATAAATTAGTATGCTATGGAAATTTCATTCATATCAGATATTATTTTAGTTAATAGTTTTAGTTGAAAATTAAATAAAAATTCATATTATGAATACCTTCGGAATAATTCTGCTTGTGGATGTTCTGCAGCAAACCGAGCTTTTTTGCGAAGTAGTCTCACCTGGGAAAAAAATAATTAAAGATTGTTAGATAATTATTTCCATCACTAATTGGTTAAACAATATAATATTTGATCTTAATGGGATAGAATTTTGCTATAAATAAATTTATTTAATTCATGTGCATTCATGCAATGTACTGAAACAAATATTTATTTATTCATGAGCTATCCAATGGCAATCCATAATCAATAATAATAAATAAAATTTCTTGAATTCAATTTAAATGGAACTTTTTGCAAAATCAAAATATTTCAAGCATAGCTTGATTTAAACGTTAAATTTTCAAAAAGTAACTCATTCCAAGAATTCTAAAAAGTATTTATATGAATGTAAAATATTTGCTAAAAATTTTTGTTGCATCTACTAACCTGCCAAAAATTAGTGAAATATAATGGTTTTGATTATTGATATTTAAGCTCACTCAACATAATATAATAATTATGAAAATTTTTTATTACATATGACCTTTTGACACAAAATTTTACAATTAGAAATAAATGCACTACAATGCTCAGAACTACATTTTAAGAAATAAAAGAAAAATTATAATGAACAATTTTATCATCTGGTGTAATGTATAATGTAACATTATTTTTTTACCGTGAGTCCATAAGCTGCCACCATGACCACCATAGGGGCATAAAATGCAACAATGGACCCCAAAACAAAGAAAGCCCTGTTATTGATGACACATTGGTAAGGTTCAGGCATTATGTTTCTTGAGTCTGCAGCCCCAAGGGCTGTTATTGAAGATGATACCAAAGCTGCTAAGCACCAAGCTATGCAAATCTGAAAAATAATAAAAAAATCAGTTGAATATTTGATTTTGAGCATTTATCCCACCATCAAAATTTGAACTCCTACATAGGACATATAACTATCTTAGTCGATATGTTCATGTGCCACTTGAGCAAAATTCTCAGCTCACGACAAATCATTTTTGCATATATAACTCTTTGATCATACAATAAATGAACAATAAATTACCTTTATTAATGCTGCTCGTTTTGTAGCTTTATGTCTAGTAGCTAAGGGATTTCTAACTCCGAGGTATCTACTCAAGCTAATAAAGCACATGTGCAGAATGCTTGAAGAGCACGCCAGCACATCACACGTTACGTAAATATTGCACCAGGCCAGTCCGAATGGCCAATAACCTGGAGAAGAAATTTTGATTATATTATATATATACATTTACACAAACACTGTCAAAATATATTTCGTACTCTACCCTGTATTAATTTTGTCAGAAGCAGTTACGAGTAATTTCTAAACATTTCTATATTAAAGTTCTGTTTACTGTTGTCAATATGCTTCTAACATAAACTAGTATTACTTTAATTAACTGACTTGAGATGATGTTTGAATTCAAGTTCATCTAATGAATATGATGGAGTATGTGATCTAAGGTGGATCAATTTATATTCATAACGTATCAGAGTTGTGATTAAATTTCAAGTGAACAAACTGCATTATAGATTTTTATATGTTATAGTTTTATTGAAATTTGTTCTTATCAATTGTGTTTTCCACAAAGTATTTTTAAATTCAAGTGTTCTACGAATGTAACAAACAACGATCTAAACCAAGAACAAAATAAGACAATAACGTTTACGTTATACATTCTTTCATAAAAGTCAGACATTCGCACATAATAAACTTTTTCTTTATATTTCCAGCGGACTTGTTCTGTTTTATTTTTATCTTTTCATAGATCTTATTAAATGATTCGCTCACGTCAGAAAATTACCAAACTTTAGAATTGTCTCATTGTCGCCGTATTATCGTCGTCTGTGTCAAGGCATATCATACAGAATATCATTTATTTAGCATTTTGATAGGCCTTTCGCAAAACGAAATGAACAAAGTACATTATGTGCCCCGACACCGTAACGCCGTTCGAGGGCTGCCGAGAGAAAATTGAATTGCGATTGAAACAACCATGAGATTATTTAACTAAAGTGAACAGAGAAATCTTTTGATTAAAAACTTGAATAAAGTGATATTTTTTAGTTTGTTTTGATGTGGAACTTGTATCTTTGCATTCATTTCGATTAAAGCTCTACAATCATTTCTATACATTGGAAAATTGTAACATATATAAATAACGAATAATAATTAGGAGATGCATTTTCTCATTTATGTACTCATCACCTAAGGTATGAAAAATAAGACTTAAATATTAATTCATCTTATTTTAATAAATGAATAAGAATTTTGAAAAATGAAAAGTTCAATACGGTGGAGCGATCTTGTACTTTTTGTAAGGAAATTGCGCGTATAAGAAATTGCTAGAAGGCGCAACAGTTTAGTAAATAATATCTGTTTGCAATCATTAGAATTGAATAATATTTCCATTTTTCTGTATATTAAAGTCAACATATTAGTTTCAGTACATTTTAAATAAAACTTGTTTCGCCTAAATTGTTTTCAAATCGATATTAACCCGACCTGACCAAAGCATCTCATATATAAGATTATAATGCTTGCTTCTCTAATATTAGAAATTGACAATTTCATTTTATTCAATACCAGTTTGTCGTAAACTTATCAATTTGTTGATGTAGATTATCCATTATTTTAAAAATAAAAACTATCTGTTATACTACAAAGTACTACTAGAACATATTGATATAAATGCATCAATTTTAATAAAGTATGAGAGTATTTTACGTAATATATGAATATTTGTAATAAACATGAAATTGTTATCAAAAAATTTATATCGTAAAACGATTGAAAATCTATACTACAATTTATAAAATATACATTGTTATATAAATAAACACCAAATCACAAGTATTACTAATTTGACTGTTAATGATTATATAATGACATATTTTTGCAATAAATAAAGCTATATTCAAAACATTTTTTATGCCATGAAAATGTTTTATTCTACTTTTCTGAAATTTAACTTATGAAAAAGGTCCTCTCGACATGAAAAATTCAGAGTTAGAATAATGATGTGTGACAGGATACGAGTTGCACAAAAACTTGGACAACCATTAGCGATAATTTTTTAAGGTGCCAAAGCCATAATGATGAAAAATAACGTCTACAAATATTAATATATATCAGATAGTTTTAGTATTTTATTTTTCAATATTCTACTATTCAATTTATTTCTTCAATTCAATATTCAAAGCAGAACTTTTGTTTCACTTAATCAGAAATATTGATGTATCTATTAGGCAGTACACGGCGGGTGTTTGGTGTTCGTATTTATTAGAATGATGTATACGACCCTTCGGGGTGCCATAATACTATAACTTTACTCCACGGGGTATAGTTTCACTCCGTATAGACTATTAAAGTTTTCGGGCAACATTTTTATTTCGTTTGCGAATGTATCATCACAATTTTGATCAATAGAACGAATTCGCTGAATAATGTGCTGCACTTTAGTTCTCACAGTGCGGAATATATCAAAATTGAAGAAAATAATTTAGGTATTAATTTATCAGTTAATCTTAAAGGATAATTATTTGCTTTCCTGTATATACACAAATGCTGTAAATTAAATTCTGTTTGAGATTTGCTGTAGTAGAGAAACACATCGTTTCCATTGTTTTATTAGCCGCGGAAAATATGTGCTTGCTATTTACTATTTTAAGCTTCAGTGCTTATTATGCAGAACCATTTTTGACAGACGTTTAAAATGAATTGTTCCAAAATTTACTGTATACAAAAACATTTTCTTGTTTTTGCTCTATAAAATTCATCCGTCAATTTTGAGCAGTCATTACTGTTGTTCTATGGTTTAATTGAAACCTTTAAAGTCCCGAATATTTTTATTTTAACTTACTTTTTACTTTATTTTATTTTTATATAATACTTTTATTGAATCAGATACTTACGGGTATTGATATTCAGGAAAATACTTTCCTTATCAATGTGTATACTATTATTAAGTTTAAATTAGTCCAGGAAAACCTTTATGGTTAATAATTCAATATCTCAGGTACATAAAATATAAACACAACATTGCAAATTTTTATGAAGAAAAATTTAAATAAACGGCTTTTTCGTGGTTTAATGGCGCTATGGATTTCGTATCAGAAATTTAAGAGAAACTAGTGGTCAATGACATCGTGCCATAAGGCAAATTTCTGGAACTTGACTTATTTGAGGAATATTAAATGTTTTCAAATAGATTATTTTTTCAAATACTGTAACTTATATATGTTTACAGAAAACTAAATAAACAAAACTTAATCAATTTAAAATGTAGGGCATTGTATAATATTTATAAGAATTATATAAACAGAATTAAATTAAAACAGCATTTATTTGTGCCATTATATAATTCTATAGTTTCGTTATTATTCATTTTGTTCAGAATCTACTAATAAAATTAATAAATTTTGCTTTCTAGACTATTTAAAATATAGTTTAGTTTACTTATTATATCCGAACCAATGGTATGACTATAGTGAATAAAAAAGGTTTTCTCGTGAAGAAGTGGTTAGAGCTATGTACTCCGAAGCAGAGGTACCGCATTTTGTCAAGCAGCAGTGATATCAGGTTTACTCAGAAATATAATTTAACTCAGCATTTCAAATTCTAACTCAAGACATTATTAACTTCTTCTAATAATTCGTTTTGTTTTATCTTATACATAGCAGAATGTTTCCAAATAAAAAATGTTGCCAAGTGAAAACAAACCTCGCCTATAAATATGATAATATTAAATAAAACAGGTGTTTCCGTGAGCTAGTGGTTAGAGCTTTGGACTTTGAAGCAGAGGTACCAAGTTCAATACCCGTCTTTTTACAAGCAGCAGTGACATCAATTTTACTTGGAAATATACATGGCAAAATGTTTTCAAATACAAATATGTTGACAACTGGGAACAGTCGTCGTCATAAATATGATTATAATAAATGAAAAGGTCTTTTTCATGACCTAGTCGTTAGAACTTCCGGCTTCAATTTAGAGATTTTAAGTTTGGAACTATTCTTGGACAGCCTGATGCCCTGAAAGTAATATTGGTTTTTACTTGAAAATAAAGATAGCAAAATATTTTCAAGTAAAAGGTGTTTCCAAGTGAAAACAGCCTTGCTTGCTGCATTAATAAAAAAAATGACAATATTACATGAATTGTAGTAAGACCAAATTATCTGCGAATTAGATTAAGTATGTCATGATTTTATGTGCAAAAACAAAAAAAGTGTACAAAAAATATCGATGTCTGATAAAATGCCCAAATACAAATCATAACAAAAAAGCCAAGATATATACAGCATAACATACATAATTTTTGTTCATCCTTAACAAAACAAATTTCACGAATAATCATCGTCCATTCTCTAAATAAACATCTCGAAAACATACGGTAACAAAATTATACAGAAAAAACTTCCTATATATTATATTAAAAAATCCATCGGAGACATTATACGTTAGGTTCGATATAGGCTACATATAATATATATTTATTATAATACATTTCTGGTGTCTATTTCGCATGATATGTCGTTATTCCGTGCACGCTCGGACGCTCCGTCGGGCAAAACAAAAAAACTTATTCAATATATCTCATGCGGGGAAAACGCTCCGCTAAAGAAAACATATCACAAAGTTTATAAATCACTCTTTGCGCCGGTAAATGTATGAATCCGGCACCGGAGTGTCGATGGACTGTCAGCAGAATCATTTCCAAGGATCTCGTCAATGTGTGAATATAATATTATCACACGAACTGGGATAAGGTATACTAAAACTTACTATGCATTTGTCACGTTATTTAGACGTAAAAATGTTTTATTTTTTCACTTATTTTATTTTTTAATGTTTTATTTATTATATTTTAAATGAATAATGTAGAGAGGGCAATTTTATAACTAGTTTTGAAACGAGACAAAATTAATTGTATTCAGGATTAAGTTTTATCCCAATTGAAACTTAAAAAAAAATTTAAAAAAAGTTTTAATTAGCCCACTTTTCCATTTAACCTAACGTAATTTTCTATCATAATATTTTTTTCAAGTTGCAAAAAATAGGTGAATTCTCATTTTTTCTGGATTTGTTAAGTTGAACTAGAATCTATACTAATGAAAATATATATTTGTTTTGATTTTTTTGTTTCGGATGGAAATTGTGACCTGCGTCTTTCCTGCTAAATGACACCTGCTGCTCGTGGCGCATCGGCAAAATGCTTGTACCCGGCACATATATTTTATTGAAAAAAAAATTGAGAAGAATGCTGAAATATAACAATAAAAATTATTTATTTATTTAATTAAATATCCCGCCTTAGAAAAGCTTTAAAATATAATTTATATTTCCAAAAATCTCGTCAATGTGTAAATTTCATCACACGAATTGAAATAATATATACTAAAACTTACTATGCATTTACCACGTTATTTGGGTGTAAAAAAGTTTACAATTATTTTAATTATTTAAATTTAATAATAGAGTTTATACATAAACCGACATTTCAGAAAACTGATCTTTTGAATAATGTTTTTTAAACAGTTTCGTTATTTTATGAAAAAAAACTATTTGCATAAATAATTCGAACAAAAAAAATTTATCAGAAAATTGTGAGTCGTTGAAAAGAGTTTTTGACTGAAATTTATTTATGCAATGAACAAAAAGATAGTAACCAACTACGATTAATTAACTTCAAAAACAATAAATAATTCGTTATTCATACACTATTTTAGTGATTTGACATTAAAGACGGATATCGAATTGCAACATTGTTTTCATCAATTTATATTTGCATTTGTGTCTATATTTTCAACTAAAATTATATTCACATTTAAAAAGAAAATTTGAACAAAAAATTTTTTTAACAAAAAACTTGATAAGGCTTCTTTCAAATACAATAAAAAATAATAGAAAAAATTATACTCGTGTGATTTGAAAATATTTAATGTTGATGTTGAATTTCATGAATACAATCTTTAAAGGTATAACATCTATTTAACTATTATATTTTAAAGAATTTCAAATAATAATTTTATATATATATATATATATATATATATTGAAATTATTTTTCCATTCGTACTAATGAGAGGGACTGTAATTAAGTACTAAATGCAGATAAAAATATTCGGTTACCACCGTGTTTAAATATCAAATGTCAGCTTCATTATTTAAAGTTTGATTTAAATGATTTTGCTTAATGATCAATTTTATATAGTACAATGTATGTACTATGTATATATATATATGTATATATATAATATAATTTTATTCATCAATTTTAGAAATTGCAATAATGATTATCAAAAGATACTATTGGGTATTACTTATCGCTTTAATTGATCAAAATTTCATTTTAATATTAAATTATATTTGTAAATATTCTTCAATATTACTTTATAGAATGTTGTTCAATCCAGTAATTGCTATTGCAATAAAAGTTGCATTTAAATTGAGTATTATTATTATCTCTTGAAGTAAATAATACGTATACATATGTTTTTTTTGTGAAGTGCAGTAACGTTGTATTCCAGTAAAACGCAATGTGAGGTTTTTATCTACATTGTCTGCAATCGACATTTGGATTTCTGCATAGTGGTTATGTTACGATTATTTATTCTTGTCAATAGCAGATACATCAATTCTATGTTGGAGATAAAAGACAGTAGGCTATTGTTTTCGAAAATTCGATTAAGCTGAGTTATTACGTCCACCTAATATAATTTTGTTCTATGTCATCTGTGCGGTTTGAGTATAATTACGACTTAATCAATATAATAATTTAATTTATGAGTGATTAAAGGCATTTCAAGTGGATTTATCACACATCATTAAAAACGAACGAATACGTGAACTTGGAGTATTTTCTAAAAACAAATTGTCAAAAATCAATAATTTTCATAATTGAACCAGAGTCCGTAGGACTTTCATGGTTTAGTGTGTTCATTAAGAGCAAGTTATACCAAGTAAATCGTCTAATTTTAATTTTAACAAACGTCAAAAAAACTACTCATTTTCTTAAACTTTGATGAATTTTAAAAATTAAATTACTTGTAAAGCCGTAATAATTCAGTAAGTTCTATAAGACCATGATATATATCGCCAAAAAAAGTTTCATAAAAATCGTCGGGAAGTTAAATAGGTAGGTCATTATTATCCTTGATTAAATTTATAGTCTGCATAGATAATATTTATTTAAAAATAGAAAAATATTTGTTCCATGCATAAATTATGAAACAAACCATACGGATCGATAAATGCATATGTAATATTAATAAATGGTTGCTGCAAGATGTTCATTTTCGGCGAATGTGTTTCTAGAATATTGAATCGAAATATTTTTAAATATATATATATATATATATATATATATATATATATATACATGTGAGTATGTATGCATATATTTGCGTGTTTCCATCGTCCGTACAAATTTATCATGAAGCCTTTGTGAATATTTCACGTAAAATGTGAAAAACGCCCCTCGTAATTACATCTTCAATTTACATGTACCAGCACAAAAAGAACTCGCGAGAATTTTTAAATCTTTTTATTAAATTACAAAGTTATATTAAATTATGAGAAGCAACAGAGGGATAAAAGGGCCCATTCAATCCCTTTATTATGGGTTCCTAACTCATTTGATCCCTTCGAAATTGTAATGCAAATTTTTCACTAATTTAATATATGCATGTTCATTTTCAAACGTATATGCTTAGTTTATATATCGTTCATTTATAATATGCCTCGACATTTACTTCTTTGAGTAAAAGGATATTACATCGAAGTGAAAAATGAATTTAAAGACAAAATAATAAAGTATTTCAAATGTATAATAAAAATGTAAATGAATTGAGTTTGAATTTGGTATTCATAAGCTTGAGTCAATTTAAATTTTGTGTTGTTCTTCTTTCCTTCTTATATATATTTACCTAAGATATTTAAATAATTTCACGAAAGAGCTGCTTATGATTAAATATATCCAAAATTAAAATGTACAAACGACGTTATTAAACGTTTGGTATTAATACTAGTAAAATGGTTTTATGAGTGTAATTGAAATATTATAAGTTGCCTCTTCTAAAATTTGATATTAAATTTCTGAATTGTAATGAATAATATGTTGTGCAATGAAATTATTAGGAATTAATTTAAACAAGAATGGAATAATCTGAATGCTCTAATAACTCATTACAACGATTATACAAATTTTAATGCATCGAAATATATATATATATATATATATATATATATATATATATATACATATATATAATAAACATATATATATATAACATATATATATATATATATATAATAAACATTATATATGTATATATATATATATATATATATATATATATATATATATATATTACAAACTAATAAATAATTATGCTAATATGTAAATACAAAATTATAATGATGCTAACTATTGACAATTTGCGTTTATTGGAACATCATTCTTCAAAACAAACTTGATGCTATTAATAAAATATAAATTTTAATTTATTGCATATTCGAAAAAAATATATAATATTTGGTAATAATATAATAGAAAACTGCTATGTTCAATATCAACTAATGATGACATAAAATTAAAAATTTAAACATTTGTGTTGATAAAAACTTTCAAAAATTTTAGGTTTCTTCGAACATGTGTTTATCATCAAAATGCATAAACTGCAAAAGCCACATTAAAATAAATTATATTAAGGGAATATTCTGGCGTAGAAGCATACATTTTATGTGATTTTCAAAAGTCCGTAGAAATGGCAAGCAATATTTTTCCAAGGACTAATTATTTAATTGGGAGGTCTCGAAGAATTGGCACCAGACCATACCCATGATATTAGTCTTTTAAATAATCTGAAGAAACATATGTATGCATATTATGAATCTACATTAATGTCAGTACTAGTTAAAATAGTTTTTTTTTATAAAATTTTGATATTCTAAATTAAAAAAAAAATATTTAAAATAGAATTTAAGAATGGGCGCATTTCATATTCAAGAGAAGTCTATAAGAAAGATTCTATAAAAATTTTAATTAAATCGATTTAATAGATGTTGAGAAATCGTGAGTATCCTATAGAAAAAGCAGTTCCGAGAAAAATACATTCCAATTTTTGCGGAGGAATAAAACATAGGTGGATTATATATAATATTAAAAAATATCGCCGCAAATAATTGGAATTTTAAAAAATCCTCTTGTACACATATTCTTGAATAGTAAGTCTTTCAAAATTTCTAAAAAAACTTGATCTAGTTTTTAAAAATTCTAGAAAAGAATGCACCCTTAACACTTTAAATAAATTGTATTTATAATTTTGCTTGAAAATGTTCTAGTTATGAAGTACATGAAATTTTGTATTGAATATAAGAAATTATATAAAACTTAATTTAATCATTCATATTCACCAGTGTGTGTGTATTGATAGTACACATCTAATGACTCATAAATGGGTATGGGCGTGTTTCCATACAGAATTGGCCCCACCCCGGTATTTAAATAATTTTGATTTTATAAGTATTTCCGAGAAAATCCGATATACCAAATTTCAAATCCGTATCTCATCATTTGGCCGAGATATCATTGAAAATGTTTGAAAGTGACCCCTTTTTTCAAAGTCGTTTTTTGTCGCAACTGTAAAAGACATCGACAAACAAATAACGTCATTATATTCACAATTGTGTGTACTATATTATTATTAACAAATATTGTTAAATAATTATTTTGGTATATCCGATTTTCTCGGAAATACCTATAAAATGGCATCAAAATTATTTAAATACCAGGGTGGGGCCAATTCTGTATGGAAACATGCTCATACCCTTTATTGCACCTCTAAATATTACTTCCTCATAATCCTTAATACTCACTAAACTACGATATTCCATGGCACAAGCCAAGTTTTTTTTAAATATCCACTCACCTAAGAATCCCGGAATGGCTCCCAGGGGCATTACAAACAGGCAGACCAGCAGATCGGCCACCGCCAACGAGAGTAGAAAATAGTTCGTGACATTCTGCAGCCTTTTATCCAGTGCGACGGCCAAACAGACGAGCGCATTTCCCAGCGCACCGGCCACGATAAATATTATAGCACATAAAAAACTCCAATCGAATTCAAAACTAAACGGTTCCAAGGGATAAATAGTTGAATTGTCGAGGATTTGGGAATAGCACGATGAGTTATCACAGATTATTGTAGAAGAATGCGGATACGATTCCGCTATGGAAATGTTTTGAGCGATGGAGGCCACGTCGAAGCACAACGGAAGGAAGTCGACCTCTGGTATGTGGAGGAAGAACCAGGGTTTCTGAATTTCTTCTGAAAAGAAAAAAAATATATGTGGAAGTACCAATAAAAAGCACAAATACCGTGAATTGAGAGATTTTTATATAGTGCAAGTGAATAGTGGCATAATAATAGTTCCTATATGGGCTCTACATTGTTTATCAATATTGCCTCAATGTTGTTTCGTTAACATTTACCAATATGCAACCCACATTGGAGTCCATTGTGGGCCCAATATGAATGAAGATTTTATACCGCACATTCAAACATATTATTTAACCCACATTCAGAATTATATTATGCTACATATATGCACATAGACCATAGTAGATTAATATGTGTAAATTTATTATAAAAGTACTATATGAACTATGAACATAGTTTTATTACAAACTAAAAGGAAAATCTACAATTGGAATTTACAACAAATCAGTTAAATGATAAGAGATCCTTGAACATGTTGAATAGATAATTCTACAACTAATTCAAATAAATTGCTACTTATTCTGCATAATGCAAAAAAAAAGATTGCGCTTAAGTTTCACACGCGATTGAAGTAAAACTTATTTGCTACTGTACAAAATGGCATTTAAGTAAAAATAAATACATCATAAATGTAACAATTTTGAATAATGTTTATTAGTAATATGGTAACACTCGTGATGCACGCATTTATTAGTGTCAACCATTACACACATTTTTATAATGATAAATTATAAATTATATATTTACAATAGCATTAAAAATATGTATAACATTTAAAAACAATAATGTATTTAAAGTCATACTTCAAATATGACATGATCGGTTTGTCATTGTAATTAACATTTAGAAATGAACCTTTATTAGAGAAGTGAAGTAATTGCTGACTAATAAATTCTATAATATCTATAATGTGGTATTTTTTTACTTTTTCGCTGACGATATAATCTCATTCTTTGAGCAGCTGTAATATCTGTTTTGCCTAAAAAATATTTTCCATTATAATAACTTCAAAGATTTATAGAAACTACGAATAATATTGAAATTAATTCAATAAGCTTATGTTGCATTTGTTTTATTATTTTCATTATAATTATTTACGGATATACACCCTAGTTGCGCCTGAAGAAGTTTTACTCCAACAATATAAATTAAGAAAGAATGGAATACGTATTGAGGCCTTATTTCAGATTTAACCAAAATTATAAAATATATTTTACAAAAAAACACTTTTACATCGGCAAAATAATATCATATTTCTTCACAATCAATTATGCTTCACATATGCACATGCAAACAATAATTTTTTTCTATATACAGCAACGAATTTTATATGAATTTAGTTACATTTAATTTGTTATGTATGAGTGTGTTTGTCTGTAAGGATGAGAGCTTTTATTAGTGTCACAAACTTTACCAAGTATTGCAGGAAACTTTTAAAGTATTACACTAAAAATATTTAAAAAAACTTCATAAATTCACTGTCTTAGTATTCTGTAATATTTTAATCGCTTACAGGCAAAAAATTCTATTAAGCTCCATATACCTCAAAATGACACTTTTAATTAAAATAAATTTAAACATATTATAATTGGCTTTAAAGCTATGTGATTTATGGAGCGAGCAATATAATTAATATGAAATTACAAAAAAATCCTATAAATCATAATTTTGTGCGTATTTTTAAATTATAATGGATGAAACTCGATAAATATATAATTCGGTGAATTTATTTTTGAATGATATAATAAATAATATTTATGTTGCTGATAATAAAATGTAAACCAAATCGTATATTTTATGATATTAATTTGTATAAACCAAATAATGCGCTACATTTGACTCTGTTCCATAAAGATATATTATGGTTAAAAACCAAATAATTATATTTTCTAATGATTTTCATAATCATGTATAAATTTAATGTTCTGATTTTATAATTATCAGCTTTTTTTTATATGTTTGTAATCCCCTAAATATATGTAACATTTGTGACAAATAACCTTGTATACAATCCAATAAAATAAAATTGTAAAGTTGAGTGATGAAATGTATATGACTAATGCACATGTGAACAAAGTACAAAAAAAAACATATAAACTTGGAATTTATTAGAACATAACTAAGATAGTAATTGGAATTTATGAATAATGTAATTCATTTTAGATAATTTATTCAAATTTATTCTAGTTTTAAAAAAAATACTATCCTGCCCACAATTTGACCTACATGTGTCTGTTTATATCCGTGAATGTGTGCATGGTTGTGTTTTTATATGGTGTATTTTATTTATGTTCTGCACAAGTATAAGATGGATACTATAATCTTCATTTACCGTTTGTGGTTTGCAATAAAAGTTTTAATCGTGCACAGCACGTCCTGCCCTCCGACGCTATCATAATCCGAGCACGGGTTGCAGGAGAAATATTGATTAGGTTCCGCATCGGCATCAGGTGAACATTTAAACAGGACGCCACTGGTTGAATTATGAATGGATGACGATGTCGTATTGTATTGATGATGGTAATCGATCTCACCTGAAATTGAAGAAATTCGACGCTATTTAAGGTTTCACCGGGATATTATCTATATTAGCCGGTAATGAGTTCAGGCGCAAAATACCAGAGGTGATTTCAACTTTCATAATAGAAACATTATAATATATATAGAACACATTTATAGTATTGGAGCACTATTATCTTTGTCAAAGACTCTATAATAATTATGAGAGAAATCTATTTATTCTATATGGGAACACTGAAAGGGGAGTGATGTGGCAACATGAGTAGGCCATGAATTGATTCTGCCGCCATGTTACGCTCCATCTTGTATACATTATGCTACTGAATTCTACTCAATAATGTTAAAATGTCATTATTTACTGTTCATTCAGGTGTTTTACCCATAAACTGCAACGTCACTGGTATGTTATGAAGCTGGGTCAAAAAGACCCTGTTATCTTTGCATTTTTTGACATTTGTGCGGTTTGTAGTAGGGTTTGTAAAAACCGGTCTTTGGTAAAAATTATGGAATTCGAAAACCGGTTTTTTAGTGAAAAAAGTCGGTTTTCACTGTATAAATGGAAAATGGCAAATATAGCCAAATGTATAAGATAGATAAAAGCGTTTTGATTCTTGAAATCATATCGGTTCAATAGCATTTGATATCTTATCAGTCTGCAATGGTTCCCAGAATGGTTTTGTTAGCTTTTGACTAATGTATATATTAATTGAGATTTTTATATCAGTGTATATATATATATTTTAAATCAGTTTGACTTCTTGAAGAAGTAACTTCCTTTACTCAAATTCAAAAAAAAAAGTTTTAAACACTAGAAGCTACAAATTAAAGAACAAAAAACTAATTAAAAACTTAAAGATTTTAAAAATGCTGCTTTAAAAACAATTGAGCATAATTTGGTCGCAAGTATGAAAGTATTTTAAATATAAAATACTTTCATACTTGCGAAAGGAAATTTTGTGAGTAAACAAAAGACACGTCTATGTAGAAATTCAATAGACGTTCTCAATTTTTTTAAATCATATTTTATTAAACAAAAAACAATTAGAATGTTTAAAATTAATTAATGAAAATTGCTCGGAACAGAAATAAAAGTCTAGCTTAATTGTTTTTGAAACTAAAATTGATATTAACAAGTACGTATCAACATGTATCTAATATTTTTTTACTTTTTTTTATTTAATGAATTTTTTTTATTTAAAAATATATTATTTTTATTTATTCGAAAACTTTCCTTTCACTATCATAAAAATATTTTCATTCTTATATGTAAAATGAATAACGAATAATAATTTTCAAAGTTATTTAATCAAGATAAACTATTATTTTTTAGTTCTACTAATTAAAATTAAAATAATTTTGTTTACTATCTATAAAATTGAACAATAAATAAATTCAGTCAAGTACTATTCTAAATTACACTAAATTTGGAAAAAGTTACAGAATATTCGAGCAAAAATTTATTTTTTATATAAAATTCGAAAACCGGTTAAAACCGGTTTTTTAGTATAATTAAAATTCGAAAACCGGTTTTTTGAAATGTCTGTTTTTGTATAAACCCTAGTTTCTATGTTAAGTTTTCTATCTGACAATCTGGGAAAAACGCCTAACTGCACAGCAACCACAAGGCTTTTAACAATATTTAGAACGATTTCTATATTATATGAGATAAGATAATAATTTAAAATCTATTAATTTGTATCGGCAAAATAAATCAGTCCATGTCCTTATGGGTTGTAGAATGTGTTATCCTTAGTTACCAATTTAAATTACGGTATCTACTCAACACGAAACTCTCTCAGGACGTGTTTTGACTGTATTTTTTAATACATGGGGCTTAGAATGATGAATTACCTAAAGTGCAAACATTGTGAGAGCCGCTAGTAAAATTGCATGAGCTGTACAGCGATGTTGCTACAAGCCCCACTGGGGCGGGATCGCATCGCAGCGGGCCCAACATCAGGCCCGGACTAGGCTATCTGGAATAAAAATAAATAATATTAATAATACTTTATATAAAAACCTATAAATAGAAATATATGACTAAATGAAAACAAATCTATTTTTAGGAAAATTATAAAAGAAATTCTACAGACACCTTATTTTTAAAAAATATAATATTTTATTATAATTATTAGTCTTATCGTTAGTCTATTTAGATTTAAGAAATTGCTATTAAACTAGTTGCATCAATAGTAGACAAGTTAATTGGGTTGGTAGAATTAAGAGCTGAAGTGAACGAAAACATTGAAGTATTGTTTAATAAATAAAAAAAACTAGTGGTGAAAGGCAAATTTCTGGAACTAACTAAATAATGAATTAGAAATTTATCAATTATTAATTATTATAACTACTGTAAATGTCATTATTCGTATTTTATAGTATCATATTTCAATTACCCCCAAACGATTAAATTACAAGTAATCAAAATAAATGATTAAGTTTCCAAATTCTCGGAAAATTATGCAAGAAATTCATGTAGAGGGTGTTAATTTCGAAAGGCAAGAGATCATAGACGCCTACACTTCCCGGAAAACATTTTCCTAGAGTAACTTTATTTTAAAATATATCTTACCTAGCGCGACCGTAATTTTAACACCACTCAAGTAACCCGAACTAATTAGACGCCAGAACACATATTGTTGTTGACAAACAAAATATTAAATCTACTCGTACATAGTGGATGTTTCATAATTTGCATTTTGAACACATTTAATTTTCTTGTAATTTATTACACTGTTTTTTCATAAAATATTAATTTGATGAGTGTTATTTAATTTGTTAATTAAATATAGAAATATTATAAATAAATAATATATAGAGATTTAATGTAGACATGATTTAGAAATAGTATATGATTACAAAATAGTCATTTTATTAGCCCAATGATTTTTTTGTTTATCTAGTTGATGATTATTAATTATTGGCATATTGTTTAACGTTTATCATAGGAAATTACGAGAAGAAAACTATACTGGTTGGTAAATCGAAAATCTCAGTTGAGCACATGGAACAAACTTCTTCTGTACAAGGTCATGTTAAAACCAATTTGGACGTACGGAATACAGCTTTGGGAAACGGCGCGCAAATCCAACATCGCCATAATTCAAAAGTTACAAAACAAAATTTTGAAAGAAATTATAAAAGCACCCAAGTATGTCCCAAATTGGTTGGTTCATACAGATTTGAACATAAACACAGTCAAGGAAGATATTGAAAAGTTCAGTCTGAGATACAAGAATAGAATACAGAACCACCCAAACATCATGGTCAAAAACTTAATAAAAAACCATGGATATTCTTTAGTAATCCTATGATATGTATAATTACTCGTAGGCTTTATATAATTTCTTTCACATCAAGGCTACATCTATAAGCTAAACATATCCAACCTCGATTCGGATCACCACTGGGTGACAATTCGACCTTTTTTTCCTTATTTAATAAACCATTAAAATTACTGAATGTTGTTTATAACGACAGATTGCAATTCATAAATATAAATAAAAAAATTATATATTTTTTGAAGTACATATAATCCATAAACGGTTAGCAGAAGGTGCAAAAATATTAAAATGTAAACATGCAACAGCTTTCGAGAAAGAATTAGGTACCAACCAAATCTATAACAGGGCTGTAATTATTTTTCCAAAATTTTTAAAATTCCACTCAAAAGTTCTAGACTTAATATATCAAAATCTTGAATTTTCAAATGAGCCAATATTATATGAATCATATTGAATTCAGATTAGACTATGCCCCAAGAACATTTATATGTGGCATGCTTTTCAGTGGATAAACCAACCAGGTGCCTTTTCATGTGTAAACCACATTCTTCCATATTAACCATCAGTTATTTTTCAGAATTTTTTTTAGAACTAAATTGGAAACATGTGTAAATTTTTATTAGCAGGTACCTAAATTTTTCGGTTTACATCAATGTCAGCTTTTACATACTGTCAATTTTATTATGTATCTATTCAAATTGGCTTATGTATTCATAAATATGGAGATACAAATTACAGAATCCTATTCGATGACATGTCAATGCTACTAAATATCAGTACTAACTTTTTACTAAACCTGCATGAAATGTGTATGCTAATAGTATTTTACATCCGACAGAATTCACCCACAAAATATTATGCAAATCTGTTTTTATTCACGAATATGCAGTAATAACACATTAAATTTTCCACGAACAAATATAATACACTTGATTTATTCATTTTATAATTTGTCAGGCAATAATTTTCCGCTATCATTTATTATAATTATTAATTTATACACTACACCCACAATCTGCTGCACGTTGGCGGTTCGTTCTCAAATTGAATAAACAAACACATGTTGCACAAATGAAAATTTATTAAAGTCGGTAATTAAATATAACTCTTGATTGAGATCAACATAAACCCTCTATGACCTTTTGAAGTAAAACAGAGAGAAATTCTAAAGCACGTCACTTTGCCAAATCTTGAATTGAATACAATTTCGAGAGGAACGTTTTGAAATTGTCCTCCTGTTAAATCATATTACTTGCCGCCGTGGGTATTCGCTTCGTTTATTATAGGTTACAGACATGAATTTGAAATTATTCGATAAAGATCGAATAGAAATCGTAATTAGATAGAAATTAATTAAATTCATAACTTTTTACCACATATTCTGCTTATTTTCTACTTACTAAAATATATAGCATTCAGGGATAATACATATGTAAAATATTATTTTATGTTAAAATCTCTTGATTGTTGATGATTTTTATAGAATAATGCTCAACTAACTCTGAGTAATATGTGGATAATAAATACATGTATATATATATATATATATATATATATATATATATATATATATATATTCTTCTGTACGGCTGTATGATTTGATACTTCTCCTAAACGGTTATTCGAATTTTGATAATTCTTTCTAGAGCTTGTCAAAGAATTTTTTTAAGATTTAATGAAAGATAAAACTATAGTAATATTTAAAAAATATATAGTAAAAATTACATAAAACCATTTATCATTGTTTGACATTGAAAACATTTGAACTGTCACCTGCTAGAAATGTCAATTCACTTAAAATTTGAATTTAGCTGAAACTATGAGCCTAGATAATATTAGAATATAATATACAAGATAAATGTAATGTCTACATTATTATTGCCGAAAATCAGCCAGAAGTGCCAGAAATTATAAAGATGTAAAGTCAACAGTATATGTTTTGGCAGATGCAATTATATAATTCAGTTTTATAAATAACGCATTAAGTCTAAAATTGCATATACATTATTTTTGTAAGTTCAAGGCATGTTGCATTTTGGTTTACTTTACTAAATTATTTAACAACACAAAAAATATTTCTACTTATAAAAAAATGATCTAGAATTTTGTTTCATGTATCAAATATTCATTTGTTTGGCATTGGATATGGGATATTTAGCAAGTTGATCTTAGATTGAAGAGTTCCCATATGAACTAGATTTTACAAATTAATACACCTAAGATTTGAACTTAAACAATATTAAGTTTATTAAATTATTAGTAAGAAAAATGTACTTTAGAAATTATTGAAAAATTCAACTAATATATCGTACGAGATTATGAAAATTATGGACTTGATATATTATTGAAGCAATTATGTTGTGTGGTAAAATCAAGGGTGATATTGTTCTTTTACTGCAGATTTTATATATTTTTTTTTAATTTCTTATACTAGTTATGCTAAGACCATAAATGAATCATAAAGGCAGGACATGAAATAAGATATTAAAAAGTATAGAATAGGATATTAAAAAATTTGGAACTTTTGAATTGTAACCGTGGGTACAGGACAACGTCTGCTGGGTCATCTAGTATATATATATTTATATATATATATATATATATTTATATAATTTTTCTGTATGTGTCTTGTCACTCAATTGTTAAATCATGAGTATTTATTATTTCTGATGTAATTATTGGACTAATTAATAACACAACTAATTTTGATTTATTTTTGCTTCAATTCAATATATGTTACTGTCATTTATAATTTTTAATTTATAATTTAATATTTCCAATTTATTCATTTGATTTTACATTGCCAATCACGAATGACTGATAATACGAAATTAACATCGTTAATTTCATTTATATAGTTTATTAAATTCCGTTGTATTAATTATCTAAATCAATGAAAAACATAATTTATTGTACTCTATAAATATATGCATGGATTATTTAATAATAAATACATAGATATATTGGATTACTACGCTTCGAAATTTAAATGTAATGACAATATTTTCAAAACATTATATGAAGATTTCTTATTTTCAACAATAATTTATGCTTTGATATAAAATATAGACAATTTTTTACATATTTATACTAAGTTCTTGAAATCATGTAGATGATTATGGATAAAATAGAAGACCTATATATTTTTTAAATTTTAAATGCTTTGACATTTATGTGAAGAGTTAGCTAATGTTGTTTTAGGTCTTAATTTTCAACTATAATTTGTTCTTTAATATTAATTATAAGCAATATTTTAAGATACTTATACTAAATTCTTGAAATTTTATAGTAATATCTCATTTTTATAATTAAAGTAAAAGGTATCAAGGTATATCACAAAATACATATACATTTGCTTTATAATATTAATTTTGTTTTAATTGAGAGCCGTAATATTTAAATTATTTATTTATAATTTCTTTCATCAAAAAAAATTGAACTATATCTAACTTTTTATAATTGAAGTAAAAAGAAAACAAAGTAATGATGAGAAACATTCAATAAAATCTAAAAGTAATATTTTGAAGCTTTTTTAAGTAATTTTTATACTCATATAAAAGACAATACATATAAATTTGCTGTATAATATTAGTTTTATTTTGTTTAAAAATCTTAATATTTTAATCTATATTACTCTCTAATTTATATATAAGATGCTCGTGTTAAATCAACTCAATCCCCAAATAATCCCATCATATCAACTTTTAAAAATTGAAATAAAGTAAACAAAGTAATTATGAACAACATAATATATTGAAAATCTCATTGCTATCATTAATATGTTGCTGTAATATTTTGTAGTATTTTAAAAAAAAATGTTCATACAACATCGTACAAATATTCTCCTTCTTTTCCTGTTTTAATAATTTTATGGCTGTAAATCATTTCTTTTGTTGATACTTGTAAGCAAATAAATTCCAGTATCAATATCAGTGATTATTTTTTTATATGTGTATTACAAAATTTATGCAAAATTATTGCAATTGTAAATAATATGAAAATTCTACAAAAGAATTTGAATAGTTCAGTTGAGTGTATTAATTCTCATCAATTCTGTTAATCAAGCATAACTTCTGATTCCTAAAGTTTTTCAAATTTCCCGAATACCCGATCCGAACCTGGAAGTGTTTACATTCACGGTACGTTTATTGAATTGAATTCATTTGAATGAGGCTAAGATTTACATGATCACAAAAGATCTATTAACTCGCCTTTAATGAGCACACAATATGCTCCTCTTAGAGGCAATTCACAGATACTTCGGTGTGTCATATGACTCGTGAAACAGCTAATGACCGAATAATATATTGTCATATCAGAATATTATCACTTAAGGAACTTACCTATGTTTATTTCTGCAAAAATGCCATGCAATGATTTAACACTTGCTAATAATGATAGTGCAGAAATCTATTTTGTTCTATTCATTTTGCTAAAAATAGTTGGGTGATTATTTAGATAACTAAATATAACTGGTGACTATTTTGATGAGTCTTGGCGATTTGTTAATGAGAGTTGTTTTGATATGTTTTTTAAGATGCATTTTTAAATATTTTGATTATATTGGTAGTATAAATAATAGTTATAAATTGCATCAAGAACGTTGTTGAAAATGTTATTGTATGCACTAAAGACGCTTCAAAATAGTATGTCAAAATATTGTTTTTATTTTTAATAGCAATCAGAATACCGTAATATCCTATGAGCTATTTGGCATATATCATTCTTTTTCACACATACACACACACTTTCAAAAGATCATATAAATTATTGTGATAATTATTATATCGATAGTTGGATAATCACTTAATTATTA